GGGTTAGGGCTAGGGGTTTAGGGGTTTAGGGTTTATAAGGTTTAGGGAAGATTGCTTGAGATCTTCGCGTTCTACTAGGTTGGGGTTGTGGGACCGTGCTGTGGCTGCTTAAACTTCCTGCAGTTTGCCGTCATGCACCTCTGACTCACTTCTCGTGCATCGAGCAGCGTCCGAGCTCATATTGGACATGAAAACAAGGAATCAAACTCGGCATAAACACGAAACCGTAGAACCGTAGAACCCTAAGAGCCAGACGCTAAGCCGGGTGCTGGTACACACCCCCTATCGTGTCTCCATGATTCCGAGAACGGTCACCAAATTTTCTACGGCTACATCCATTCCTAGTATGACTACTGGTAGAACGACGAATATTATCATGACTGGCCGTCCTAATCTTATGGGATCCTGAAGGGAGGGGGTTCTAAGAGGGGTATATAACCCAATAATCCCCAATTCTCCCTAGGGCTCCCTTAGGTTCCCTAAAGCTCCCTAAGGATCTCTAGGACCCTCCCTGCTTGAACCACCCGCCCTTAAGGATCCGATGATAATCTTCCTATCTCGTTTACCTGCACCCCTCGTGCTATCCCAGCCACCTGCTCCGAAGCCCTATAAACCCTAGAAGCCCTCTCTCTCTCTCACAGGCACCCTAGAAGCCCTAAACCCTAAACGCCTAAACCCTAAACCCCTAAACCCTATAAGCCCTAAACCCTATAAGCCCTAAACCCTAAACCCTATAAGCCCTTTTCCACAGGCTTGAACTGAGCTCGCCCGGCCAGATCCCTCACCCTATAAGCCCTAAACCCTAAACCCTATAACCCTAGAAACCCTAAACCTTAAGCTCAGGGACGTCCTCATCCGGAGGATAACCGAGGCGGAAGGACACATCTTTGGCGCCCAACGATCGCAAATAATCGGCAACTGCTCGAAGGTACAGGCACGACTTCCTAGGTTCCCCCCCAAAAAAAAGCCGCCCGCGGAGATGTTTAAAAGGTCTATAGGGTTATATAAGAGATCTTACTGTAGAGGGTTTAGGGACTAGGGAGACAACAAAAAGAAACCGCAGAAAGGTACTATTTCAGGACGCAGCTGCAGTTGATTTGGAAGTTGAATGCTTGTGTCCCTTCCTGCATGGACGGCCGAAGCTACGAGCACCACATGCCGCCGACGCACAATTTCCGGAGGAATGGACTTGTTGAATGATGACAGAGGCCTGACATAGACATTCCAGGTTTCTAGCTGGTTCTCGCCAGAGTAGAACGGCACAGGATTCGCGAGCATTTCGTCCACCGACGCAGCCGACTCCTCCAGTACATCTCCCAAGCGTAGGTGGACAACCAAGGCATCTTTTGGTGGTGTGTCATGGGGTCTACTTTGGTTGAGGCTGTGGACCACAGTCTCGAAGGCTTTGAACCAGCGACGCCCCCAGAGCTCTGGAGCTGTAGGGCAAAAAGCTCGCGCACGCCCAACCAAGCTGTCAGGCGGATATCGCTCCAAATTTTGGTGAACCTCGTCCATGCAGTCGGGCATGGGTAAGCACGTCCTGTGTCCGCGAAAAGCGTCTGTGCAAAACCGACCGAAAGGCTACGATGAAGGAGGGCGTTGTGCGGTTTTTAAAACCCCCAGTAGAACCCTTTCCGAGCACTTATGGCAACCCTTATGGTAACCTATAGCGTTACGTCCTGTTGCCACAGACCATCTGCACAGCATCCATAAGATTGTAATGCTGCCATCGCCGGTCGCCCCGCATCTGGTCCACGACTGCATCACAGCCTTCAAAACCTGGTTGCCAGCATCTCAAGGAAGGCTCATACACACCCCGCAATGGTTGTGTAGTATTGTAGGAATACATACACATACAAGACATACATACGTCTGTGTGTATGCATGTCTATGGCACTCGATATCGATCGATCGATATATATATATATAGATAGATAGATAGATAGATAGATAGATAGATGGATACATGGATAGATAGATAGATAGATAGATAGATAGATATACATACACACACACATATATATATATAGATATAGTATACCTACGTCTATGAACCTTTACTGGCACGGTAATACACATCCTGATGTCCCTGAGCGGGTTAAAGTGTACATATTCAACTATCCAGAAAGCGGCTCGAGTTTGCAGGCTGGTCCATCTCAAGATCTTCTGCCACAATGGCTGATGGCTTAGTGCAGCTGCTTGAGATCCAGGAGAGCTGCGAACCTCGGTCTCTCAGTATCCCAAGGATAGCACTGATACTGTAATGATACATAAAGCAGGAAAGGTGAGTGCAGATACTACATAACACTACATAATACTACTAGTACTATACTATCCAAGCAAAACAGAAACAAAACTAACAGTAGCGAAAGCTATCTAAGTAGCAATCGGAAGAAAAACGGAAGATGCTCTCTTCTCAAGCCGTAGAGGGGGAAAATAGTACTACCGGAAGATCTAGGAACAGCTTCCTTTGAACACCAAGGTCTCGCCGTAAGGGACGTCAGGGGGCAGGCCTGGACAAGCTGTTCGCCGGAGCTTCACCCGCTCTCCGCGTACGAAAACCCTGCAGGAAAGCTTCGGCGTCCCGGACGCCGGAAGCTGCTGAACAGGAGGCTTCTCAGTGTGGTTGGACTTTTGAAGAGGGGTCGCGTTGAACGACGGTAGCCGGCTCCCGTAAGTGTAGCATGCAAAAAGCCCCATGGCATTCACAAGGAAGAAGCCCATGAAGGTCGTTGACTTCGTTCGACGACATGACATCACCAACAGAAAACACGTCGACAATTGCCAGCACAACTCGCGATCTCGACCACACCCAGGCCATGGCGAAAGTGGAGCAATCGCTTGGCGGATGCTCTTGCTTTAGGCATGTTCATGGTGCTGTCATCCCGTGCTGAAAATTTCGGCTATGTAAAACTAGCCCAGTGGTGGACCTGATGGGTTTGTGCAAACTAAGAGTCCAGTGAGCCAGACTGTTCACTGCAAGTGGCAGCTGGGGAAAGACGGCTTAACAACGAAATCCCGAACACGTGCTCCAAAGATTCGTAGTCTATGCTGGAGCCGACGAATGCTGCGACTAGACCCGAAAAGCCGCACAAACGCTTTACCCTAAACCCCATACCCCCGAAGCAGAACCCAAAGGCTTTGTAACCTGATTGTCTCGATATGAGATGCCACAACTCCCAGGTAGAAACCTAAGCCCTAAACCCTTGGCACACCGGAAGGGCTTACCGGTGCAAGTCCGATGCAATTAGGGTTGCGGTGCTCCCTTGTGGGTTAGGTTTTGGGTTAAGCACTTTGGGGTTCGAATTCGGGGTTAAGGGCTCTAGAGAGCCTAAGCTTAAGATTCAAGGCGTCGGGGGTGGCAAGACTTCGAGTCCGAAGATAAAGCCCCTGAACCCTAAACCCTTCATTCTATAAACCTTAAACCCTAAACCCTGCATTCTATAAACCTTAAAGCCTAAACCCTGCATTCTATAAACCCTAAAGCCTAAACCCTTCATTCTATAAACCCTAAATCCCAAAACCCTCATGGCAGGAGCTCCAGTGGCTTGGGGTGGGCTTTTTCAGCCAGGATCCTGCCACGCTGGGGGAAAGAGAGCCAGGGTGGAATCTTCCATTGCCCGGAGATTTAATCAGGGGTTTTGGGGTTTTTCCCTCCCTCGGTTCTTCTTTTCCCTCTCGCATGGCTAAGGACCTATGCCCACAAGCGAGGATGACTTGAGTACTCCCAGGGGTTTCGGGTTTGGGCTTAGGACGAATTGTTTGCCTTTTAGGCATCCCTGCATCCAGGCTTCGCGGCAGACACCTTCGACATCGAAGACGCCACGCTTGTGCAAGCGAACGACCCAAGGCATCTGCTCCTTGATGGGCCACCCAAGTAACACAGGTGCCTTACTAACTACACTAGCAGTATATTAAAGTATATTAGGGTTTAGGATTTAGGGTTTTACTTGATATAATCGCAAGAAGGAACGCTCAGCATTAGGCGGAAAGTCTCACATCTCGGGGATCCCAGAGAGCCCAATACCCCTTTATTCAGGAATGTGCCTCGATTTCTAGGGGCCTTCATATTATGGTGTAAGGTATATGCCTTAGATGATAGGAGCCTTGATATTCTGGTGTAAGCTCTATGCCATGAACTGTAGGGGACTTCATCTTATAGTAGGTACATGCCTTCAATGATAAGGCTTTCATACTATGGTGTAAGATATATGCCTTAGATTATAGGGGACTTCATATTATGGCGTTACGGCGTTACGTATATGCCTCAAGCTAAATAGGGGCCTTGATATTAGTGTCTAAGATATATGCCATGAATTGTAGGGGCCTTCATGTTATGGTGTTAGGCATATGCCTAAAACTACATAGGGGCCTTGATATTATGGTGCAAGGTATATGCCATGAATTATAGAGGCCTTCATATTATGGTGTAAAGTACATTTCCTGAATGAAGGGGTGCTGGGCTGTCTGGGTAGCGCTCGCTGAGGTCTCGGGGGGGTCACACGGAATCCTGACCTCCCTCAACCTGCCATGTCGCGCACCTTGGAGACCCAAAGAAGCACCTAAACAAGAACCATAAGGTTTGGGAAATTCCCCTAAGACCCTTTATAACAAGGCAATGAAGGTGGGGATATCCCACCCCAAAAGCTTATGCTTGGGTCCTTTTGGGCTCCTGACACCTGTCCTCCTTGGTTAGGGGTCTGGGGATTTAATGCTTGAGCATCGGGCTTCTAGTGATAAACCTTTTTGGCGTAGACTCCACAGTGCTTCATACTCAGGCAGGCTTAAATCACAAAACACCCCTAAACCCCTAAACCCTATATACACCCAAAACCTTAAACCCTAAACCCTATTATACCCAAAATCTTAAACCCGGAAAGCTTAAGCTCTAAACCCCAGGAACCCCAAGTCCGAAAAGCAGCAGCTGGCATGGCGAGCCGGTGTCCTCTGGGCCCTCGAAGTTCTCGTATCGCTCTAAGGCCCTGAGCTTTGGGTTTCTATATAAAATATACAAAGACATACTGCAATATACCATAGTTACTACAACATACTAAATAGACTATCATATACTGTGGTAATTTCACTATACTACAAGATAACTAGAATTTGCTATAATATACAATAGTATGCTATAGGGGTTCGAGCAGTTCGGGGGAGGATCAGGAAAGCGCTGGGAGTTTGTGCAGACAAGATTTCGCGGTCCTTGAGACACGTCGTGCCTGTGGATCTCGCACAATGGACTGCAGGCTCGAAACAGTGAACCTTTTTTTTGAACACAAGATCTGTTGATCCCTGCATCCTTAACCCTAAGTTGGACGATCTGCCACTCCAAGGCCTGTTGCATCCAGGACTCTCGCAACCAGCCACTCCAAACCCTAAACCCCAAAACCTCTACCCCAAACCCCACAACTCCTGAACCCTAAACCCTAAAGCAGCACCCTGAAAGGTCCCTTATAGGAAACCTTATATTCCTCAACCCTGAATCCCTGTAATTTGTCCCGGTGTTCCAGGAAGTCCAATTCTGAGGTTTTTGGATCCGTCGCAGCGACGATTGCAGAAGCCCTGTGATTCGAAGAAGACGGTGCAATCCATCCCAGTATATTGTTACATTTGTTACTGTAGTGTGACACACAGTGTATTATTAAAAATAACCATAACATATTATTATCATGATGCAGTTCTCCAGTATTTTATTGCAGTACATTATTCTTGTAAATTATCATAGTAGCATGATACAGTTACTGGTATCATCGTCTATCGTTAAACCCTTGCACCGGGGTTGAAAAACCACAGCGATGACGGGCAACTGGCACAAAACCTTGCGTCTTCGCCACCCTAACCCCTAAGGCAACTTCATGATGCTCATAAACCCTAAACCCTAAGCCCTAAACCCTAAAAAACCTCACGTCGCCGAGCATCGTTCTTACCATCTTCCGGCTTAGCTCGCAGCTTCTGTTCTGGGTGGCCTCGAACCTTCGGAAAGCCATGGGCAAGAAGGTCTTTGGGGTTTAGGGATTCGGTGCTTTGGTTTAGGAAGTTTTGGTTTTACGGATTGGGGTTCAGGGTTTCAATTGTTACTGTTGGGTTTAGAGTCGGTGATGCGGACGATGTTTCTCGAAACTGAAATTTTGCGGGTACATAGGCGGAAGCAAGAAGGTATGCAACAGATGTGAGCATGTGTGCGCATGCACGTCATAGAGTGAGTAGCATTGCAGCCGCAGGTGCATCAGACCGTGCATGTGAATCTCAAGCATACCATCACTTGCAATATGAGTTGCCTTTGCCACTTGGCAACATTCTCGTCAGGCTCCTACAGTGTTAGAGCGGTTCTTTGCCATTCCAATATCTTGAAACCACCTTCGACAAACCCCTCGTGGTGTTGCTTCAGCATGCGGATTGAAAGGCTTCGGGGTGAGCCAACATGCATGTCATGATGGCGGCACACGCCCCTGTCTAACTCGAACAACGGTCTTTGGGGAGGATGTCGCGTTGCACACTTACCGCAGATATGCCGACTACTGGCCAGCCACCTGTACTTCTGCATTTTAGCATACTTAATTAGAATAAGGAGCCCGCAAAATAGCATCTGTAATTATTGAGGCACCTATATATTATATCAACAACGTTGCTCGAGGCGTGCCAAGTGGCTCCCTGTACGTCTTGAAGGCCTCACAGGCAGGTCATGTCGAGTTTTAGGCGGATCTGGAGGAGCACAAATCTTTGAATCAATCTGACATGGGGCCGGCTCAGAGAAGTTGACTCTGTTGAGCTTTCTGGCGCCACATTGGAGGAGTGTGCGGAACAATTCAAGCCTTTCAGCCGCTAAGAACCTCCTTAATCAAATAATAATACTTTGGCTATCCGACTAAGCCGGCAAGTTTGGAAAACCGAGCCGAACCCCAATCGCAGAACCACCCAAACCTATCACTGCAAAGCACTCTGAACAGCCAAACCCCTCCCTCTCCTCCACCCCCCCAAAAGCCTGAACCCCCCCCCCCCACCCCCAACCCCGAACTGAAACCTAAGCCAAGCCCTGTTTTAAGCACGGACTTGCAGTGTATGCCGGCAGCGAAGCTCGAGGGCAGAGCCTTCCTGAGTCACCTCTAAGCCAAGCCCTAAACCTTAAACCCCCACCCTAAAGGAAGAAAAGGGGCCTCGGGCCAAAGCTGCATCCAGGGCTGCTGGATCAGATGCGCGAAGCCCTTGACCCTGACTGCTGTGTCACTCGGTGTCTTGCAGTCGATTGAAAGCCGATATGGGGAAGCCTACATAAAGAAGTAGCTTGGGTATGTGTCTGTGTGTCCGTGTGTGCGAGGATGTGAGACAGACAGGCAGACCGACCGGCCGGCCGAACCGCCTCTTGACAGACAGACAGACAGATAGACAGACAGACAAAAAGACAGGCGGACACTTCCTTTCCGTCTCCTCATCTCTCGGAACATGCGCCGCGCATTTTGCAGAACCTACAGTTTGCACCTACTTATGTATCACATGTACGTCAGTAGGGTGATGCAGAACACTACATTAACAAGACAGAAACATGGACACACACACAAGCATGCGAACGACGATATTCATTCCGCAAACACTGTTGTACACACTCCGCAGTTCTTACGCTAGGAGTACCTTTGAACGGCCTCGTGCTCCAGTGCGGCACTTGCAGGCCAACACTACACAGCCTAGTCCTCAGGAAAAACTCG